TCCCTCACATGGCTTCTCACATGCTCGCTCCCTCCCTCCTTCTTTCCCTCGCTCGCCCTCCTACTCTCTCTCTCTCCCCGGGGAGCCGGCGGTCTGTGCAGAGCAGGCCTGCACGAAACCGCAGCACCACTCTCAGGGCGGGAAGAACACGGCAAAACAGCCAAACCCCATTGAGAACGAGTGCTCCAAAATAAACAAACATATACGGACGTGGAATTACGCACATCTTTTTTTTTTGTGGTGGAGAGACGGAACAAATCTGAGTCACTTTTACACTTCTAAACTTAAATAAATTACATTTAAGACATTCCGCCACTCACTGTGATGTCATGACCATGACGGCATAATGTTTATGATGCAACAACATGGCAAACAGCCAAACCCAGTTGAGAACAAACGCTCCAAAGTAAACAAACACATAAAGATGTGGAATTGCGCAAACCAGCTTTTTTTTTTTTGGTGGAGAGACGAAACAAATCCCTTTCAAGGTGTGGCCACATTAACCATTGCTCGGCATAATTTTGAGGGTGAATTCTAGCCATTCTAAAAGGAATCACGCTGACCAACATAAAACTGCTTGGTTTGAAAGTGACTTTTGTGTGATCTGTGCTTCATAAAGCTCGACATTAACAATCAGTGTTGGGCAAGTTACTTTCAAAATGTAATACATTGTAGGCTATATTACTTATTACTGTCTTTCGAAAGTAATTAGTTACATTACAATATTATTGAATTGTAATGCGTTACACTACATTTGAGTTACTTTTTAGTTACTTTCACTTTCAAGCACATACCGCAATTACATTCAGAAGTTATAGCGGTAAATAAAGCGTTATAAGCAGGGCTGGATTTACCTCTTATCGTGACATAGGCAAAACAATATTTTGGGCCCCCCTTCCTTATTAATAGGCCTATATAATATTACCACCCCAGCAAACAAAATTGTTTCGTAATCAGTGGAAACCGTTACAGTGTTTTCTATCGCAATAAGCGCTTGCGTTCAGTCCATAAAAATCATCGTAATTTGTTTGAGAATGGAGAAATACCGTTCCATTAGGCTCCAGCATATGGCCACATTACCACTTCGGGAGTGCATTATTTCTCTAATAATTTTAACGGCCTGGAGTCACAACCACACATCAAGACATTGTTAAGATGATTTAGACATTTGTCATGTTTCCGTCCTGAAATCTTGTGGGTGTTGAACTAATTTCTTGTGCACCTCATAAACCTTCCATTGCAATTTCAAAAACGTCATTTTAGAGCTAATAACAGAGGCTTGCTAACGCAGTTATTAATGCAGTCTAATGCACTTGTTAGAGAGAGAGAGATTTAGTGCGTGTGAATACCTGTGTCTGTGCATCTACAGGCGCAGCGTCTACTAATAGCGAATCTTTAAGTTGAACTGCTTCAAGAACCTTGCTACTGAGAAATGTCATGTAGCTTTTCAGCTGCGAAACAGTTTTACTGATAAATTCGTGGGGCATCCGCAGCTCTGGCAACAAGTTGCTGTCCGCGTCTACGAGTGTGCGCGCGAGTGCATGTCTGTACTGTGTGTCTGTGAGAGAGAACGGGAGAAATCGTGATTTCCGTACATAAAAAAGGTGGAAAACAAGGAAATAGTTTGTTATTTTTTACCATATTGTTTGTTATATTTATTTGCTCAGTGTCTTCTGGGGTTTTGGTTCTTTTATTGTTGTAGATAGCCCATAGTATAACAAAAATATTATTTCTCTCTTCATTGAGTTTGGGCCCCCCCTGGATGAGCGAGCAAAGGCATGTGCCTAGAATTCCTATGCGTAAATCCGGCCCTGGTTATAAGCCCTAATGTACAAACAATAAACACAACAGCTAGGCTCCAGGCTATTTTAGTTCTCCTCACTCCACAACAAATCCTATAAATTTAATGGTATTCAGAACAAAACGAATGAAAAATATAAGTTGCTAAACAAGTCAAAACTAATTAATTTAACGCGAAACTGAAAGCAAACGTTAGTTAGTTACGCAGCCTACCTCCCTCATTCGGCACAAATCCAAATGTTTCCATATTCGCGATGTATTTGATTGCTAAACTATTATTTATTATGTAAACCAGGCTTTGTACTTAACGCGGATTGTACTACGGACTATTTTAATTAATGAGTGTATCTATATGTTTGGCAAGACATTGTTAAGATGATTTAGACATTTGTCATGTTTCCGTCCTGAAATCTTGTGTGTGTTGAACTAATTTCTTGTGCACCTCATAAACCTTCCATTGCAATTTCAAAAACGTAATTTTAGAGCTAATAACAGAGGCTTGCTAACGCAGTTATTAATGCAGTCTAATGCACTTGTTAGAGAGAGAGAGATTTAGCGCGTCTGAATACCTGTGTCTGTGCATCTACAGGCGCAGCGTCTACTAATAGCGAATCTTTAAGTTGAACTGCTTCAAGAACCTTGCTACTGAGAAATGTCATGTAGCTTTTCAGCTGCGAAACAGTTTTACTGATAAATTCGTGGGGCATCCGCAGCTCTGGCAACAAGTTGCTGTCCGCGTCTACGAGTGTGCGCGCGAGTGCATGTCTGTACTGTGTGTCTGTGAGAGAGAACGGGAGAAATCGTGATTTCCGTACATAAAAAAGGTGGAAAACAAGGAAATAGTTTGTTATTTTTTACCATATTGTTTGTTATATTTATTTGCTCAGTGTCTTCTGGGGTTTTGGTTCTTTTATTGTTGTAGATAGCCCATAGTATAACAAAAATATTATCTCTCTCTTCATTGAGTTTGGGCCCCCCCTGGATGAGCGAGCAAAGGCATGTGCCTAGAATTCCTATGCGTAAATCCGGCCCTGGTTATAAGCCCTAATGTACAAACAATAAACACAACAGCTAGCCTACAGGCTATTTTAGTTCTCCTCACTCCACAACAAATCCTATAAATTTAATGGTATTCAGAACAAAACGAATTAAAAATATAAGTTGCTAAGCAAGTCAAAACTAATTAATTTAACGCGAAACTGAAAGCAAACGTTAGTTAGTTACGCAGCCTACCTCCCTCATTCGGCACAAATCCAAATGTTTCCATATTCGCGATGTATTTGATTGCTAAACTATTATTTATTATGTAAACCAGGCTTTGTACTTAACGCGGATTGTACTACGGACTATTTTAATTAATGAGTGTATCTATATGTTTGGTTGACTGTATATTGTTCGGATAATGAACAGGCTGCAACGTTTGTAATGCTGTATTGTGTGTGCGTGATGCACCTTCGAGATCGAACGGCTGAAAATACTCAGTAATTTTTGATCATACAGATCATTAGAAACGGCAATGTGTTGACTTTTGTTTTATGATGCGCTTTCTGTCATCAAAACCCTGTGGAGAATGAATGCTTTCAGACGTGTAAAAATTAGTGAAGTTATTAAACGTAATTTCGGGAAGAGTAGGCCCATCTAATCTTCCAATTAATATCCAAGTATAAAAACAGCCTCTTATCACTTCCATTGTTAGTTATTTCGGCATCCCTCCTCCTCCCCATCTCCTCCTTTTATGCATATTTATTTATTTATCTTTCTGTCTATAGGGGGGGCAATCGGAGCTCAAGTAGAATATCCTCTCTGAGCCCCTCTATAGCAGACAGCAAGCCAAATCTGTTTATCACTTAACACACAGTATTTTCCTTTCGTTTTGTTAATCTGTGAATTAAGTCAAATATATTTCGCGTATTCATTCTTTTTATATATAGATTATCATTTAATAAAAACAGATTTTGTTATTTTTAGTTAAACTTCATATCTTTTGCTTGTCCGCGCTCGTCCGCCGCATTCTTGCTCTCCTCTGACCCTGCAGTTCCCCCGGGTTAGTGTTTGCGGCACCAGTCCCGGTGTTTCTTTAGTTACTCGTGCTATTTCTCGATGTTGAGAGTACGGTGTCGCACATAGATTGCATTTGACTATGCCTTCTTGTAATTTTCTCTGCTGAGCTGAAAATAACGTGAGTGTGTCCGTGTCACAGATATAGAATCCATTTCTGCAGTCATCTCAAACATCGAATTCCAGCAGCAGGAAATAGACAAACTATTTTACCCGGGGAATTTTTTCTCTGGTGCCGTTTTGCGGTGTTGGTAAATTCACCACTTAATTTTAAGTTAAAATATGTTGTTGTAATATGCGTTACTGAGAGATATAACGAGTATCGAAACTGTTGAACAGTAGTCTACATAGTAATCAATCCATATATCTGATATCTGTAAATAAAATCAATTGATTTGTAAGCCAGATTTAAGGAAAAACTATTCAAACGGCAGTCTCTTATGACAATATCACATACTAATGGATTGGCCGTTTCAATTCAATAAGTATTTGAATAGTTTTTGCACAACGATTTTCCATCAGTCATGGAATTTCAATAAATTAAATGACATATAAAATGTTTTATGTCCTAGTTGTGTAGACTTATATTAGCACGCCTCTTACACAGACTTTCTGTGATTTTAGAGGTATATCTTGCTCAGATAATTGCTTATATATGGCACTCAGAACCCCAGGCACATTCACAACAATCACATATATGATTTTATTATTCTAGGGTTTAAAATGGCAATTTCTATCTATCTGTCTATCTATCTATCTATCTATCTATCTATCTATCTATCTATCATTTTTTTTATTTTTAATGATTTATTACTTAATGGCATATCTTTGCCAAATTCTAGAGGCTGAACATTTTAAATCTATTTTCCATAAAATTTCTTAATTTTAGATTTCTTTAAGTGCCCATTGCAACAATATGGAAATCTGAAGGAGGATGGTCAATATTTAAAAACAAATGTATTATTCTAGGGTTTAAAATGGCAATTTCTATCTATCTGTCTATCTATCTATCTATCTATCTATCATTTTTTATTTTTAATGATTTATTACTTACTCTTTACTTAATGGCATATCTTTGCCAAAATCTAGAGGCTGAACATTTTAAATCTATTTTCCATAAAATTTCTTAATTTTAGATTTCTTTAAGTGCCCATTGCAACAATATGGAAATCTGAAGGAGGATGGTCAATATTTAAAAACATGTCAACAAAGATTAATTAGCAGGAAGCAGCTAATCCACAAACCAAACCCCTCTGTCACATGGCGGCATTCTATTTGGGTAAAGACACATCACTGCCAGATGTGAAACTTACCGACATCAGCAAGGGTTTTGATGCAACCCTCAATGTTCGTCTTCTGCAGGGAGTTGAGCCAGGTGCAGTTGTAGAGTCTGCAGGCAGACTGCAGCAGCTTAATGAAAGTTGTTTGATGGGCCTGACGAAGAGATATGAATATCTCACTGTCAACTAGCATAAAGCAACATTAATATGACTGATTCATAGAGCTTAGGGAGAGAAATATGTCTCCTCTTCACGTCAGACTGAGATGAGATGAGGTGAGGTAAGGTGCTCGTGAATTGAACTTTCTCGCTCTACCTGCAGGTTTGAGTTGCTGACAGAGAACTGGGAGCCGAAGAAGCCCTTGACAATGGCCATGATGGTATCAGTGACGTATTTTTCGAGGCATGTATCAGCATGCTTCCTGTCTGTGTGGCCGATAGACACCTACAACAACAACAACATCATCAGTTCAGGATGCTTAGCACCCACATAGCAAGCACAAATCAGTCATAGATGATCTAAACAGCTCTTTAAGCTTGTATATTATGCCTCACAATTGCGCAGGAGGGAAAGAGAGAGTTAGTTGGTGTCAGTTAACTCACACTAGTCATGTCTACAAGGAAATTGTCGAAGAGTTTCCAAATGTGATTGCTGGTGTAGATCTCCTTCATCTCCACCTCAGTGTCCACATAGCAGTGATTCACGAAATTTATGTATGATATTTTTACCTGCAAGATATAAAAGCGATACTCAAAAAAGGCTACCTGATGTCACTTATAAAAAGTCTATGGCTTTAATCACATTTTTTGGACATGGTACTAGCAGTTTTTATTTTTTTGGTAATGCTATGAAGTACCCTGCCAGGTAAATACCACGGTATATGTACTTGGTAATCATGCAGTACCATGGTATACAGTGGCCTTAAAAAGGTGTTTGGACAAAAAGCCACACTTTTTAAAAATAAATGATTAAACTTTTTAATTAATTAATTTTAAATTATGTTATTTTATTTTCAAACCTAATTTTTTACAATAATTTTGTTGGCATATTATTATTATTATTATATCTAATGCAGTGACATTCATACATTTAAATGTGCGGCCAAAAATATATATTAAATATTTGTTATATATTTTTGAAAGAAGTCTCTTACTGTCAACTAGGCTGCATTTATTGGATAAAAAATACAGTAAAAAAGTAATATTGTGAAATAATAAAAAAATAATAATAAAAACAACAATAACGGTTTTCTATTTTAATATATTTTAAAATGTAAGTTTTCTTTAATGTCACATGATCCTTCATAAATGCTGCTAATATGCTGACTTAGCACTCAAGAAACATTTATTTTTATTAACCAGGTTAAAAAAGGTTGTGCTGCTTGATATTTTTGTGCAAACTGTGATCCATTTTTTCAGTTCAAAGAAACAGAATTAATGTGAGATAGAAACCTTTTGTCACATTCTAAATGTCTTTACTGTCAACTATGATCAATTTAACGTATCCTTGCAGAACAAAAGCATTTATTTCTTAAAAAAAAAAAAAAAATTATTATTATTATATCTAATGCAGTGACATTCATACATTTAAATGTGCGGCCAAAAATATATATTAAATATTTGTTATATATTTTTGAAAGAAGTCTCTTACTGTCAACTAGGCTGCATTTATTGGATAAAAAATACAGTAAAAAAGTAATATTGTGAAATAATAAAAAAATTATAATAAAAACAACAATAACGGTTTTCTATTTTAATATATTTTAAAATGTAAGTTTTCTTTAATGTCACATGATCCTTCATAAATGCTGCTAATATGCTGACTTAGCACTCAAGAAACATTTATTTTTATTAACTAGGTTAAAAAAGGTTGTGCTGCTTGATATTTTTGTGCAAACTGTGATCCATTTTTTCAGTTCAAAGAAACAGAATTAATGTGAGATAGAAACCTTTTGTCACATTCTAAATGTCTTTACTGTCAACTATGATCAATTTAACGTATCCTTGCAGAACAAAAGCATTTATTTCTTAAAAAAAAAAAAAAATTACTGACCCCAAACTTTTGAACAATACTGTATTTTGTCTATTGTATATCAAAGCATTATGGTCTTTCCATCTGACACCATCACAGTTTCACATTTTCAACATCTATTTTTGTAAGGATCAATACTGTACATGTTCTTGAGAGTTAACTTTTAACTTGTGATGCACAGTAATAGCGTAAGCAAACATTCTGTTCTCCATTATTAGACAAATCTCATTAGATCACTTATAAAAGCATAATTACAACATAACAGCTCTAGGACTTTTCAAATATGCCATGGTGAGCTTTTCAAGAGAACATTCAGGTAGGGTTAATGTTCCATCACCTCTGGAATGCAGCCTTCGTACGTGACCACGTTGACAATATCATCAAGCGGCAGAAGTGAGTTGCACTTGAGCTCTGTATCAACGTTCTTGCCCTCGGTGCAGGCTGCCAGCAGCTCCACCAGGGTGATGTGGTACGCCAGAGCATCGTTCTCATCTCGCTTAGACGACATCATATTTTGAAGCACAGGGAAGGAGGCACGGTCATTGTAGAAAACCAACACGTCTTCTCCTCCGTTCACCAGCTACGGTCCAAAACAAACACAATGTCTGATTTAGCTCTACAAACACATATAAAGTTACTCTTCTGTGAATAGAAGTCTATATGGGCAATTAGTGGAGTGTGATAAAAAAAATCGAGTATCAAAATGTCGTCTAAATTATTGATTTTCTATATTATTGAATTATTGATAACTATAATAAAATAATTTTTAAATATATTATTAATTATTATTATTTAAAAAATGTGTAAAAATATTATTTTAATTTTATGAGTTTTATAAACATGATTGGCTTTGAATCTGAAGGATACAAATTCAAATGTATCCTTCTCACCTCATTCATGACTTTGCATTGACATTCCTTCCCGTATTTGCCATCGGCTTTCACAATGGTTTGGAGGAAGCGCAGGTACTGCACGTGACGGCCGTGGGTCTCAATACAGTGCACAAAGTGATGCACCACGCGGTCGCTGATCTCGTTGCACAGGTGGTAGTTGTTCCTGAAGATGTAGCACATGGTTTTTGCCTCTAGACGCTGAGAGAAGCAAAGAGAGAATCAAATAAAATATTATCAGAATTCCAAATAATCTATTATTAATAGCAAGGACATGTAATGCTCATTAGCAGTGTCCTCAGTTGAAATCAAGTCCCCGGTGAAACGCACCCCAGGTGTAAGGAAGAGGTTGAGGTGTTTATGCAGCAGCGCCTGGTTCTGAGGATTATCTCTGCAGAAGTACTGAAGGAAAGTGTGGGCTAGAATCATAATCTCGTCCATCTTTTCGTCCCCCTAAAGATGGAGCAGCAAGAGTTTGGCAGCATAAGGACCTCAATATGATAATCTCCAAGTCTAGATTCATTTTACAGCACTATACGATAAGGTTATGATTTATGGTTAAACCTCTTCTAAATTAATGAACAAAATTCACTAGTGCCTGGTTGTGGATTCTATAAAATATTGAACGGATCATATAAGCATTTAAGTAACATTCACTCACCTTCTCATATGGGATCTGGAGGAGGTCTAGCACCACAGTGTGAGCTCCCATGTTCTTCAGCAGCCTCTGCTGCTGCACACGGATCTTCTTACCAGGAGAGCAGAGTTTACTGAGACTCAGCAGGATCTACGTAACATCAGACACAAAATCACAAGTTTTATACTCTTTTCTGTCTTGGAAATTTTGGAGCTGAGGAACATTGTGTGAAAAAGTTCCCACCTCTTTGACAATTTTGTAGTTGTTGGCTTTGTTGCTGTCTATTTGAGGTTTACTGCTCCCATCCTGCACTGGGCTCAAGATACCTGCTTCCTGTAAACCAGAAATTACACTCAGTCAGGTATTACCACTCATATTGCTTTTCTATGACCGATACTCATACAGATTCTTTTTGTTTAAGTGTTTCATAACAGATATGCATTACCACTTAACTCTTTTTTTCTGCTTCAGAGTTAAACAGTTGAGTTTTACCGTTTTGGTATCCATTCAGCCGATCTCCGGGTCTGGCGGTAGCACCTTTAGCTGTAGCTTAGCATAGATCATTGAATCGGATTAGACCATTAGCATCTCACTCAAATATGACCAAAGAGTTTCTATATTTTTCCTATTTAAAACTTGACTCTTCTGTAGTTAGATCGTGCCCTAAGACTGACGGAAAATGAAAAGTTGTGATTTTCTAGGCCGATATGGCTAGGAACTATACTCTCATTCCGGCGTAATAATCAAGGAACTTTGCTGCCGTACCATGGGTGCAGCAGGCGCAATGATATTACGCAGCGCCTGAAAATAGGCTAACTTCCGTCAACATAACCAAGGCGACCACCTGCTTGCACAGGGAGCGTGCTGAGGACTATTTTCAAGCGCTGCGTAATATCATTGCGCCTGCTGCTGCTGCACCCATGGTACGGCAGCAAAGTGCCTTGATTACGCCGGAATGAGAGTATAGTTCCTAGCCATATCGGCCTAGAAAATCACAACTTTTCATTTTCCGTCGGTCTTAGTACACAATGTAACTACAGAAGAGTCAAGTTTTAAATAGGAAAAATATAGAAACTCTTTGGTCATTTTTGAGCGAGATGCTAACGGTCTAATGAGATTCAATGATCTATGCTAAGCTACAGCTAAAAGTGCTACCGCCAGACCCGGAGATCGACTGAATGGATTCGAAAACGGTAAAACTCAACTGTTTAACTCTAGGAGAGTTGGAAAATAAGTCTATTTTCAAAAATAGTGGCGTGTTCTTTTAAGCTTTAGTAATTTTGTTATGTGCGTTTGTCATTACTATTATTTTTTAAAAATATATATATTTCTATGTAGCTTTAATTTGTGTTTATTTAAGTTTTATTTTTAGTAGTTGTAGTATTTTCTTATTAAAAAACAACTAATTGAAATAAGTTTTTTTTATTTTAAGTTTTTCATCTAAATTACTTATATCAGCTTCATTTCAATGAATGAAAACGGTTTTTAATGCTTTTAGTTAACGATAACAACACCGTTATGCTTTCTGACAACAATAACAAAAAAATATTTAAAATGATTATTAAACTACAAGGATAAAAACACAATGTGCATTATGATTATTTTATTACTGATATCAGTATTATGAGTTTATCACCATTTATATAATATAATGTTGGTGAACATTATTAGGAAATTAGCAAATCTGCCGCATTATAATTTAGCAATATGCTTGCAGTGTTTCTCCTGCCAGTAGGTACATACCTCCAAATTCTGCTCTTTGTTTTGATTCTCAGCATTGTCTTCACTGCCATAACCTCCACTCTTCTCGACCCACAGCTCAGACTTTTCCACTGTCAGACGCAGCTGGTCCAGGCTTGCCTTAATTTTCTTATAATTTTCCACATCCTCCTCAGAAACCAGCAACTGGACCTGCAAAACAAACACCACCACTAATTGGCAAATATGTTGGTCTATCATTAAAACAGACCATTTAAAAACCAGAGCCAGTCTCCATACATTGATAAGAAGTCAATAGTATGAGTGAGAGTGAGACCTGTTTGAAGGCCTGCAGAACTTCGGCTCTCTGGCTGAAGTGTTTGAAGATGAGCTGAAGAGAGCCAGAGATCAGTGGAGGGTAGTCCTGCATGATGAGGTGAATAAGCACCCGCAGAAACGTCTGACCGCCTTCATCATCGAGGTCCACCGAGTTCCTCTCCTTAGCACTGTGAACACAATAACACAAGATCTGATTAAAAAATGACGGCAATCATAACAGAAAATGTTTACATAGAAGTCCTAAAGACAACACAGCAAAAAATAGCTAGTTTAATTGTAAGGGTCTGAGACGGTGGAAAAAATGCTCCAGGATGACAGATATTTAAAATGTGGGCTGGTAAATTATCGAAATATAATCTAGCAGAGAGTTTATTGTGTTAGGTTATATTGGGCATTGTTTACAGCTACTTGATGGTGATTTGACTATATATTAACAGTTATGTTTATTCATATTGTTGTTTGTTTTAATTCATTCAGTTTAAGTATTTGACAAATAGACAGCACACTGCTTCTTTTCATTGTTAAAAAAAAATCCCACACAAACGTAAAAATTAAATGAAAAGAAAAAATAAATAAATAAAAAGAAGGTTTATTTACACTACAAATCAAAATTTAAGGCCAGTAATATTTTTGGTTTGTTTAAAAAAAAAAAAACACACACACAATTTTTACATTGTTACAAAAAAATCAATTTCAAATAAATGCTGTTCTTTTGAACTTTCAATTAATCAAATCCTAAAAAAGGCATAACGATTTCCACAAAAATATTAAGTAGCACAACTGTTTTCAACATTGATAATCATAAGAAATGTTATTTAGCATAGTTTAGCATAGAATGATTTCTGAAGGATCATGTGACACTGAAGACTGGCGTAATGGTGCTGAGAATTCAGCTTTGCCATCATATAAATAAATCATATTTTAAAATATATTAAAATAGAAAACATTATTCCAAACGTTATTCCAAATTTTAACATTATTTCACAATATTATTGTATCGACAGTCTGACTGATACTGAATCGAGCATCACAATGGTTCAATCATATTTTAAACACCAAACACAAAAAACAAACATATTTCAAGAAATCATTCCCTCACCTTCCAGAAAACATATTCTCTGCTTTCTCCGCAATCTCTTCAATGTTTGGCTCTGGAACGTACCACAGTAATATTAAAACATGCGCAAACATACCCTTGAAACAAAATATAAACTAATCAACTGCATGGTGTGGTTGGGAATGAATTTATATTACTGTATGTCATGAAACTCTCACCAGCCATGACAGGAACTTCTGCCACTGAAGCAGAAGTGTCCAAAGTCTGGTCGCCAAACTCTTTTTTATAGATAGACAGCAGATAGGTGATGCGGTAATCGAGTCGCACATTCAGAATGAACTATAAATAGAAAATATGAAATATAAAAGGATGCCAACATTTAACAATCTCCAAAACTTCAACACTTGAACTTTGTGTTGTATAACTGATAAATTTAGTTAATTGCACAAGACATTCAACAGTCTATAAGGGCATCACCTGCAGAATCTCAATAATCCTGAGCTTGGTGTCCATCACCATGACGTTCTCGTTGTCACGGACACAGAGTTGCTTTCCGTGGATTGGCTGAGCATCAGGGAGACAGTGGGGCATCATCAAGCCTCTGCTCAGAACCATCTGAGTCACCATCTCACCCACACCGTGGATGGTACGCATGACATTATTACCTACACAAACACAGCCTGAAGTGTTACACTGCCTCAAGGACAAGCAGCTATTTTCGTGCAAAACAAACACTGAAGAAACATTACTGGAGGGAAAACAGACAGCTTTAAAATGGGGTCTCACCTCCCTCAGGGCTCTTGTTGAGTTTGAACATAAATGTGGAAGTGGGTTGGACAATGTCCAGGATGGCCAGCAGGGTGCGCGTGAGGCACAGCAGCTCATTAAAGCTGTAGAAGCCAAAGTAGACCAGGTTACGTGCCAGGTGGACCACCTGTTAGAGCGACAGACAGAGAAAAGCCATTAAAATTCAAAGTGTTAGAGACTGAATCATTAGTATTCTGTTGGAGCTAATGCAGCCAATCTGCTCTGTCCTCTGGACACGTCACATAATACACTCAGGAAAAACATCAAAACTGGCACACGAATACAAAAAAACAGACACACAAGCATGAAGTACAACATTAGTGAGTTACAAGCTCCATATGACTGATTCACTAAAAAGAACTGACTACACATTTGTGCTTTATATTTTTGATTCACTACAAAGAACCAAAACAATTGTTTGGGAATCAGTTTGGCTTACTAAAAAATGACTCATAAAGGACATCCTTTTGGAATCGGACTACACTGGGTGTGCTTAATTTTTGATTCACTAATAGAGTCATTTACTCAGGAATCGGTTGGACTATACCAGTCAAGCTGTATGGATGAATTTGATTCACTAAAAAACTGCTTTTAAGGGTAATTCATTTTAAGGAATCAGACAACAAGTGTCATTCGCTCAGGAATTGGTTGGACTACACCAGTCACACTTAAAAGATGGATATGCTTAATTAAAAGGCAGCTGATCATAGTGATTGGTTCAAGAATTGGACTAAATTTATTTTGCTGTATGGTTTTGATTCACTACAAAGAACCAACTCAATTGAGTCATTTGTTTAGAAATTGGTTGTACTACACTGTTTGCACAGATTTGATTTACTAAAAAAAAAAAAAAAAAAAAACACTCATAAGGGTCATTAATTTGGTAACCGGACTACACTGGTTGTTCTGTATGTTTTTGATTCACTAAATAGAACCATTCATTCAGGATTCAATTGGACTACAGCAGTCACGTTGTATGGGTGGATTTGAATCACTAAAAAAAACAGCTTATACTCTAAGAATCATAGGATTGGGAATTTAACTACACTGTTTGCGCTGTATGATTCTGATTCTCTACAAAGAACCAACTCATTTGTTGGGGAATCAGTTGGACCACACCATTTGTGCTGTATGGATAGATTTGAATGATCAAATTAATTTGCCATCAGACTACACTGCTTGTGCTGTGTTTTTGATTCACTAAATAGAACCTACTCCTTAGAATCATTTGTTCAGGTAGCAGTGCACTACAATAGTCACACACTCCATCAATTTATTTGATTCACTAAAAAAAAAAGCAGCTTATATGAATCATTAGTTCAGAAACTGGACCACACCGTTTGCACTGTAATGATACATTTGATTTACTAAAAAAAAAAAACTCAAACATTCATTTGGGAATTGGACTACACTGGCCATGCTATGATTTTAATTTAGTAAAAAGAACCAACCCACAACTACAGTGATTCAATGACTACACTAGCTACACTATATGAATAAATCTATATCACTAAAAAAAAGCCTATAAAAGTCATCAGTCTGAGAACTGGACTACACTGTTTGTGCTTGTATGGTTTTGATTCACTTTAAAGAATCAACTCTTTATAGAGTGATTCATTGACTACACTGATCATACTATATGAATAAATCTGAAACACACACAAAAAAAAGCTAAATCTGAATCACAAAAAAAAAAAAAGCTTATAAGAGTCGTTTGTTCTGGTATTGGCTTCCCTGGTCAGGCTGTATTTTTCGCACTGTAGTGGTGTTGGCTGAATAGTAGAGCAGGAAACAATGCTCTGTCCACATTGATGGAAGATTACATGTGTGAGAACCGTTAATGGAACCAAACATCTTCTCACCTCAAGAGTCAGTTCATTCTTCTCTCTGTCTCCAAAGGGATCAGGCTGACTGAACACATCTTTGAGATATTCATCCACAAAATGCATAGTAGGGGCAAACTTTCTCTTCATCTCCTCTCTGGACGTGTCTCTGAACTCATAATCATACCTGTTCAACCAAATGTACATTCAGACAAACTGAACAACACAAAGCAGTTTTATAAATAAAGCCGCATAATACTAGAAGCAAAAGTGAGAAAGAGTTCTTTCCATCTTACTCATTGACAGAGATCTTGGAAGGTATCTCAGTCCAGAGACGCGCATAACGAACGGGCACCACGGCCTCCTGTGGGTCACGGTCCACGTGCATGTGCAGCATTAAACGACAAAATGAGGCACGAAGGTTGTAAGGCAGGCAGTCATCAAACATGCAGCGCAGGATTAGATCTACTGGCAGCTGATTGGAAATCTGATTGATGGCCAGATACTGCCGGTCCAGGCACATTTTAGCGAAAAGATTGAGTTGACACCTGAGAATGGATAGACATTCATATGTATTCCAATTTAAAATGAAACAAAGATCCTGCTTTGACAATTATAATATAAAATCTAAAATAAAAGAAAATAAACTATCTTCCAAAGATGTCATTGAACTATCACCTGTAGTAGGTGATGATGTCAATGTCCAGTTTTTGTCCATTCTTGGTATCCTGGGCAAGGTGGCGGATGGATTTCCCATGAGGCTCTTGGTCCTTATCATTCCAGTATAGCCACACCTCTTCATCATCACCATCCTCCTGGATTAAAGATGACTCCAGAGAGGTCTCTGTGTGTGGGATCAGTCTAAGGAAACACAAACCCAGTCATATATTTTAACATAAATGCAAAATGATCTTGTCACTAACAGAGTTTCATCCCATAATTCTGAGTCATTGTTATACAGCTAATCTCAGCAGAGAGCACAGAGCAGATCTCACTTGGTCTGGATGAGGATGTCTGCGTTGATGGGGTTCAGCATGAATTTGCAAATTAGCTCCTGAGTGATAGGAATGGCTGTTTTGTTGGAGACGCAAAGGTCAGACAAATAATCCAGAAACCTGGGGGAAAAGGCACAATAACATACACAATTAACTTTGAGACCACACTAACCAATGTGAAAACAGCACTTGTATCAAATGCAAGAATCAAATCTGAATGTACACTACTGTTCAAAAGTATCAGTAAGATTTGTCTCTTTTTTAAAATAAATTAATACTTTTATTCAGCAAAAATGCATTAAATTGATCAAAAGAGACAGTCAAGACTTTTACATTGCTAAAAAAAGATTTCCGTTTCAAATAAGTGCGGTTTCTTTTAACTTTCTATTCATCACAGAATCCTGAGAAAAATGTATCACTGTTTCCAAAAAAATATTAAGCAGCCCAACTGTTTTCAACACTGATAGAAAAAAAAATCAACATATCAGAATGATTTCTGAAGGATCATGTGGCACTGAAGTTTGAAGTAACAGCTGCTGAAAATACAGCTCGGCCATTACAGGAATGAATTAGATTTTTAAATATAAAAACCAAAATGCTATTTTAAATTGCAATATTTCATAATCTAACTCATTTGGAATTAAAATGATTCTAAAAGGACAAATAAGAATCTTAAAGATACAATCTTACTTTGAAAAAATATATATATATATTTTTTTTATCCAGCAGAATATTACAGTACGTATTGTAGCGTCTGGAACACTCCAACACACAATATATATTTTGTTAGCTAGATTTCACAAATACTTTGTAACACCCCAGGACGCCGAACAAGACCCTGGTTTCATGGTAACCCGATACATTTACAACCTTGTGGAATGCGAGCCGGCTCTCATTCTGCTTTCTCCAGAAACAAGGGGTAAAAATGCACAGGAGAAATGGACTGTTCTACTAATTAATTCATAGGAAAACCTTCTTTGAATGAACACCCATTTTCTTCAGGCCAGTGTGTATATTATTGCTGTGTTGTATTTAATCTGTTGTATTATAGACTATTTTTATCCGTGCTTACGATAAACCACACATTCATATAAGTAACTATTTCATGTCTAGTATCTATGAATTCGCCTTCTTATGATCGAAACAAGTGTGTATATTATATGCTGATACCTATGCAACATATTGATGTTCTAAGAATCGGTACTAATTTGTGCCTCAACACTCCAGCGAATTACATATGCAAAATACCATGCTTACAGACAAAGACTCATAAAAATCCTCAGTATTTCCAACCTCCCGCTTGGGATTTCAGCCTTCCTCATTGGACGAACCCATCTTGAGAGGCGTGAATCTCTGCAGGCTTTAAAAGGCCACACTCCATGTGACCCGCCCATGTCGGTGGTTCAGGGAGATGCTAAGATGAAGATGTGAGAAACGCTCCAGGATACCAAAGCTCGTGCCAGGCTCCGGCCTAGTCCTTTTCATTCATCAAGTGATTCTGACTCAAACTAGCTCTTTCTCATCAACCAACTTCAGCAAGATCTTGGGGCCTTAAGATTGCATCAGGAATCTTTTTCAGACATACGCAAGTATCAAACTTAGTCGATTTAATTGATGCATTAAGTATCAGTTACACCTTTTTACAAGGTTTGTTGAACTAAGAATCTGACGTTTTCCCTCAGGTTTTAGATCTGCTGAATATGCAAAAATGGTTCCATAAATGTCATTCCTTATGTCTCTTTCTTTAGTGCTAAACTTTAACCCTTTCCTATACCAACTGTATGTGTGTGTGTGTGTATGTGTATGTTAGACCGGCTTAATGTGTTTATGTAGTATGTTAGACTAGTTTAAGTGTTTATGTAGTTAATAAAACCTTACTTGTATCACACTTGACGTGTTCATTGTTTACTCATAACCGGAGTCAATAATCATGCAGATTTACGTTACAAACTTATAGAATTGTACAGTAAGAAAGTTATTTCCTTTAACCAGGAAATTAACATTCTTAGAATTGACAAGACGGTTGACCCTGAGTGGTCAGCTAAATATCTACAGTGGATCTAAAATATGAATAGTTAATTATAACTAGTTATGGTTAATTATTCATATTTCCCCATGAGCTAAATTCGCTACACACTTCAAAGGAAAAAATTGAAATCGCATCATATGACCCCTTTAAA